AAGTTTCAATTCAGCGATTCAATGGCCGGTGCCTTATTACTAATCGGGTAAGGTTTTCAAAAATTTAATAATTTTATAACTACCCTACCTTTTGCTAGTCCAAAAAATTAATAAAAAATTAATATTTAATAATAATTAAATAAATAACCAGCTCTCTCGCTTTGAAATGCAAAAATGCATATAAGTCAATCCCATTTAATCAGCATTAATATACAAATGCAACAAATGAGAATTATTTAAAAATTATAAAATAACCTTAATCAAAAGAATATGTTACAGTCTGAAAACTTAAAATAATATAATTAATCATATTTTAAAAATTATAATTTTAATTAACTAACCTAGCTTATTTTTACAGCCAAATGGCCGACGCTATAGCCTCGCCATTCGTGGGCTTCCAATCGGACCGAATGCCCGACATTTGGATCTTCAGATACGGGCGAAGAAAGTTTTGGCACTTATTGGGAGTAATCATGAATACGGTTACCGTTCCCTTCATCTATAATACCCCCTGTTTTCCGGGTGACTGTTCCGGGTCATCAACTATAGGCCGGTTCGCCTATTACGCCGTACTTATCATTATATTTCAAGCCGGTTGGGCTGCTACCCAGGTATGCAAAATTAAATTTTAAAATCAGTCATAAATTTTTTAGTAACTGTAAATATAAATCATAGTTAGTAATAATATAAATGAATGAGTCATTTAAATTTAAATTTGCAGCCGTCCAGTCAATAATTTTTTCCCTTGCTCATATAAATAGGTTAGTCACGTGAGTTTAATCGTGGACTTAACCGATAATACAAATGAAAGGATTGCGTTAAATGCTTATCGGTTTGTAAAAACATTGTAAATTTAATTGCTTTAATGTAATATTAATAAAATATTTTATGTTATTTCTATAGTCAAGCCGCCACAATATTTGCCAATATATGCTTATATACAGTAACCCTGTTTGTCATCGGGTTTGATTCTAACGAAACAATTAGCCAGGATGATTTAGATATGTTCACGGTAAATATTAGTAATTTATAATTATGCTACATTAGTTCACTTAATATAGTATTTGAATTTAAAATTTAACTAAATTTTATACATTTTAAACTGTTACAAAAAATCGAGTTTACATTAACTAATAACTTAAATAATTTTAATTAAAAAATTTTCTTTTAGGTCTACATAATTACTATCCCTATGAAATATTTTTTACAATTATAATTAGTATGTTATTGATTAAATTAGTTATCATATATTTAAATATGTTTGTAAAAAATTAATAAAAATATAATATAATATATTATGGCTCTCTCTCTTCCCGGGTTTCGGGGTTTTAAAGTCAAACCCAATTCTATTATTTTAAATGATATTAATACTGATATTAGATTGTATATAATTTTAAAAATTATTGTTAATTAACTATTTATTCTTAATTACACCAAGATGGTCTCTTACATCGTATGCGTGATCGGACTGGTATTCTCGCTACTGTTCCACGTGTTTGTCGCCGAACCGGTAGTTCCCAAAGAGGAGCACAAACCACGTGGTCTCAGAACTGCCTCAGCTTTTTCGGTGGACACCCAACGGGCCCTTTTCCAGCACCGGGCCTCTATTATAGCCCCCATATATACCCCGGATTCACCAGACGATTCAGATGACACCGGGAGTGTTGACGAGTCGACTGATGTGTATCACTTGACCGGTAAGGTTAGGCCTGGTTTAGTGACGGGACCCGGACAATTATCGCGAAAATCAACAAGGTCCATGAGACAGCCTAATAAAAAGTTTTATCAGTGGTTATTTTGTTTCGATTTTTGGAAGATTACGATCATGTATACGATGGCCAGGATGTTTTTTAACCTCGGTCAAGTGTACTCGCCACTGTATCTACAATACTCACTTCAAATGCCTAAAGTAAGTTAAATTTAAAATTATATTTTTTAAACTGTAATTACTTATGAAAATTACACTAAATATAATATGCATTTTAAATTTAGTTTTATGGTCTAAACGACACTAATTTATAATTCTTTTCTTTTTTTATTTAATATATAAGAATACAATAGCTATTATGCCATTTGCTACTTATGTTGCGGGACTGGTATGCAGTTTTGGGGCCAAACCCTTCTCAGCCCGGTATGGCGCCCGGGTATGTAGATATATATAAAAATAATTTAAACAACAGACTAAATTTTAATATTTTTCTAGTGGGTGCTCATAATAGGTGTAGCCTTTGGTGTGGGTTCGTGTGTCTGGATCTTTATCGGGGGGAACACCGAGTCGTATAAGTTGTGGCAAATCTATGTCGTGTCGGCACTCCTGGGTATCGCCGGCACAGCACTACTCATCTCAA